CATTATTAAGGCCCTGATCTGTAAGTTATACTATGGATTTTCTCTTCCTTTATATTAAAGATTGAATTTGAGAAATATTTTCTGTCATTTCCACCGCCCTCTCTCCTAGTCATTTGCCTAACTCTTCCCATGGATTCCCAGGTTTTGGATCCCAGGATGCACTGTTTAGCATAGTTCTAAGAGGAACTCTTTTTCCTTGCGCATCCCCAAATATAAAAATGGCAAGCCAGCACCTCTCCCTTTCTCTCTCTCTCTCTCTCTCTCTCTCTCTCTCTCTCTCTCTCTCTCTCTCTCTCACTTTTCCTGCCAATCCAGAGACTAATGCAGAGGATAGCATTGACATGCCTTTTTCTGTTGTGCTTCCTCCCTTGCACAAGCTCAACTTCAGTTGTATGTCTTATTGCCCAGAGTATGGGCGACACAACTGATCTCAGCTTTGCGGTCCTATCTCATGAATGCTACTTTCAAGGACTATAATATATTCTCCTTCAACTATTTTTGACGGCTTCTCTTACTCACAGGCTCTGCAGACCCCATTCGTCAATGATGCTTGCCACTCCATACCTGATGAAGGAAGATGACCACCTTAGGATTCTACCCATGATCAATCCCCATTTATATGTAACAGCTTTATCTGCATATCCTAGAGGAGGGATGGCATAATAGCAACACTAGTAAGAAGTATGTCATTCCAGGCCACCTGGGGAAGGGTGACTCTATTGGGATTTCCTCCGTGGATGTTCCACCCACAGGCAGCTTAGCTTCGGTTGCACATCTTATCACCAACAGCTGTGCTCCTCTCAAACTCAGCTTTACTTCTGTCTTTCCCCACATTCAGGTACCCAGCATTGTGTGAATATCTCCCAAAGAAACAAACTGTTCACTCCAGATAGGATACAACATCAACCACAGACCAAGGAAACAATTCCACTAAAATCTAGCTTGTTGATCCAATGAGTTTAATGGAGGTTAGTTACAGGAGCATAGGTGAGGAGTATTTACAGGCAAGAAGGGAACTTATGAGCATCTATACCAATGAAGAAAATATATCCTTCCTCCAGCAAGTATGAATTGATTATATATCCTCAAGGAGGGTAAGAACTCAAAAGACCCTCCTGCCTCCCTGAGAAAAAGTTGATGGGCCCAATCTTGAGTGGATCTCATTGTTGCTGCTGAGAGATCAAGATGATAAAGACTATGTCTTGCCCAAAAGTAATTGCTTCTCAACAGTCACCCTTCTATCGTACTTGGGCATATACACCGCTTTGACACATTTATTATAAACAGATTGAGGACAATTACATGTATTTCAACTTTTGCTAGCATTTATAATATAAGATATATACCTAGTATGGAAAAATTAAGTTTAAGAACTTAAAATTTACCAAGAATAGTGAAATGAAAAAAAAATTCTGACAATTACTCTTGGAAAGTAAGAATGGAATGCATATCAACTGTCTCTTTCCATGCCTAAGCATCTAACAAGAAGAGCAGCAATCCAATTTTAAACCTTTGGCTTCATTTCCCTGTATAGTAATTGCAGAATGAATGCTTGTACTCAGATTCCCAGTATTTGGATATTAAGTGGATTTGAAACTGAAAAACTGTCATGGTCTAAAAGACTAGTTCTTAGAAAATCTATTGAAGATAAATTTTTAATAAAGGCACATGAGCATGGTGCCAGTGTGGTGAGAAAAGCAAGCTGGGACTACAATCTGATGACATATAGGTTGAATTTTTAAAAATGGGTTGATAGGCTGTAGAAGTGATTCAGCTGAGAAAGGAATGGGAACAAAGACAGGGGTCTCTCTAGTGAAAGAAATAATCAGAGAAGTGTTTAGCTTCTGATTAAAGTGTGTAAATGTCACATGTAGTTTTCCTACCCTTTGTGTCTATGCATCAGGCCCTTGTACTAGCTAATCAGAGTTCACAGTGCACACTACATGCACTATGTGTAATCAGGTGGGAAAAAGCAAGAGAACAAAGAGACAAATCATCCTTGCCAAAAAGACAGGAATTGGTTTTTAAATAAGAAATACATTCCCATTACAAGAGTGAGCTTGTAGCAGCCATTCTTTTGGGCCACCAACCTGCTCCCAAATCATAACATGGAGATCTATTGTTAGTTGTGAATACTCGGCCTTAGCTTAGCTCTTATTTTAATGTTTCTCTTTATCTGCATTTTGCCTTGGGACATATTACCTTTCTTTCCTTCTATATATCTTACTTTCCGCTCCTTCTTTTGTCTGTCTGCCTGGCAGTTGCCTGGCTTCTGGCCCAAGGCATGTCCCTCTCTTTCTCCATTGTTCTCTTCTCTCATTCTCTCTCTTGCCTAGATTTCTCCTCCTACTTATTCTCTCTGCCCACCAGCCATGCCTATCCTTTCTCTGCCTAGCTATTGGCCATCCAGCTCTTTATTAGACCAATCAGGTGCCTTAGGCAGGCAAAGTGAAACAGCAATACATCTTTACATAATTAAACAAATGGCAGCATAAACAAATGTACCACATGTTTAGATAGTTAAATATTCCACAACATGAGTTTGGTTCTAAATGGTATGAAATTTCTTAGGAAGAAAAATCTATCATCTAAATGAATGAACACTCCCAAGTGCCACGTCACATCAGGAACCTTATTTGGATGATATCAGGGACTTTGGAGCATCCAAATATGGCTATCTCAAACTGAGTAACAAGCTCTCCACCTCAGCTCCCTCAAGAGAAATATAATGTAAATTTCCTCATGTGTGATCAGAACAGAATAAAAAAAGGGTGACATCAGATACACTCTACTGGACAACGGTTACTTGACTGCCTACTTATTGGTAAAACCGTACTTCTTTCTTTCTTTGTTCTTTTTTTATTCTTAAGTAGAAGGAAGAAGGAAAGAAGAGAGAGGGGGGAAGGATGAAGGAAGGATGGAAAGAAAGAAGGAAGGAAGGAAGGAAGGAAAGAAGGAAGAGAGAGAGAAAGGAAGAGAGAAAAAGAAAAATGAAAGGAAGGAAGAAAGGACAGAAGAAAGAAAGAGAAAGAATAAAAGAAAGGAAGAAAGATGGGGATGGGGGTTAGGTCAGTGCCTCCCTGGGAAAAGCACTTGTCACATGAGTCTAGGTTGGAGTTTTATGGACCCATGTAACACAGGATGTGGTAGCTTGCATCTGTAATTCCAGAGCTCCTTCAGTGAGGTAGAAGGAGGAGACTGGAGAATCTACAGAAGTTCATGGGCCAACTAATTTGACATATGTAGTAACAAACAAGAAATCTTTAACTGTCTGTCTTCAAACAGAAAGGAAATTAATGAGATTCAGAAATCAAGAGTTTAAAGTGGGTCTTTTTTGCCTATGTTTAAACCTCAGTCTGAAGATTTTATCTATACAAATGAACTTCAATGAGACTCAGAACATGTACAATTGTTGTCTCTCTCATATCCTCTGACCTTTCTCCAGTTTCCTACATTGTTAATCAGTATTCTTAAGCACATATTATGCTGCATGATAAGACCAGGTCTGTAACCAAACATTATGATGGGGAAAAGACTTAAATGACACAGAATGAAGGTTCCGAAGATGAATCATTTCTGAAGATATATATATTTTTTAATCTACTGGAAGGGATTGAGTGAAAAACCTCCAGGCAGCTGTCTTCCTCGCTTATCCCTGTGCTCTGTGATGGGTGTATAGAAATAGCCTCATTTTTAAATGTTTTATGAGCTCATCTCCATTGGTTCCTAACAGTTGTGGGCAGTCTCTGAAATTTATGCAAACCTCATGGCAAAATAGAAATCTGGACACTATTAAAAGTAAAAGTGCTTTTATTTTTAGCCACAAAACACATTTTATCCTTAAGGAATTGGTCAATTTCTTGTCCAACCACAGACCTTTTAGATTGACAGAAACCTCCCCTCGAGCAGAAACACTTCTTCCAAAAATGAGATTTTTCTCAGCCCCCTATTATATCTGTGTTCACGTCTCTCTGCCCATCTGTACCTCCCTACCTGGCTCTCCCATAATTACATCAAGAGACTGTAATCAGTCGAAGGCTGCGATTCTCAATGCATTCCCGAAGTGGTCTTTGTGGAAGAATGCAAAGTTGCAGGTCTTTTAAGAGAAACAACTGCCACAGAAGAAGAGCCCTGAAGGAGTTTATGGGCTGGGAGCAAAAGGTATATTTAAAGCCTGTGCCAACACCCAACATTGTTCCTACTGGGATACAATTTTCATGATTTTTTTTTTCAAGAATGCAAAATCAGGTTAGCTGGTACATGCAATTCTAACCCCTTTCAAGGCTTATCACACTTCCAACATTCAATAGCCATCCTTAATACCATTACCTCTGGGACAACATTTGAGCAGGTCCCTGCAATCTAACGACAAGAGACCCGGGAAAAAGGCTATGGTTTAAAAGCCTGGTTAAAGATTAACACAAACACTAATAAGAAGGTTCTTAGGAAAGAATCAGGACAGCTGCAGCTGAAGCCTGGCTACCTGCTGAGGGTTGCTAAGCAACTTGGGCCTACCACTGCCCCAAGGGTGTTTTACTTTACAATTAGGATTTTTGAAGGGGAAGAGGGAGGAGGGGGGTGGGGATTCCTAGTGAAACCAATGTAGGTTCATATATATTTATACATGTTGTTATGTTATTTCTTTTTAATAGGGTGTCACTCCGTGTCCTTTCAAAGATACAGCACACACTATACATGGATTTTTTTTTCTGTACATAGCTGACAAAAATCTAGCAATAACATGGAGTTTTAAAAGTGACATTTTGACTCTAAGGGAGGAATTATTTGCAATTTGTTTTGAACAGAAGCTTAGTTCATGTCAGTGGTGAACCTCCAGACAATCATTAGTTTAAACTGCCTGCTATGTGTTTAAAAATTTCAGTCAATTTAGAGCTGATCTGAATTGCAAATGTGATGCTAATGAGCCATTAGAGAGCTGCACGTCTCCTTTTTTGCACTTACAACTCTCTGCTTTAAGGAGCTCCAACTACACTGAAATATGAAAATATCGTTTTAATCATGCGCGTTGTCGACAAACACAGAAAGGCTGGAGACTCAGAGGTGGGGAAGTGGTATTCCGAGGCTGAAAATGGGGCCACCACAGGAATGAAGAGACAAGCGTAACCTTTAGTGTAAGGTAGACACAGTAAGTAGTAATATTTCCCCAAAACAAATACCAGCTCTGTTGGTCATGCACCGTGATTCTTCAGGCTCAAAATCTGGATAAAATTTATTTTCTTTGGATTTTAGAATTAGAGTTCACTCAAACCCTTTATGAGATCACTTGGGAAATCAAAAGAATTGCCTCTATGGTCAGATTTCAGCTTCCAGTGCAAATAATGAGTTCTTATGGGTGCTTATCCATGCAACCTCTTCTGTAAATAACCCAGTTTGGTTTTCTAGAATACTGTATGTCACAGTAGACTCAAAACCATCGATGTCAAGAAGGATTGTGTTTTCTCTGGGGAGTTTCAGCTCAGAAGCTCTGATACTGGCACCAAAGCATGTAATGGTATGTTATATAAAATCTCAGTCCACCCATGGATTCTTCCATCATCAGCTATAAATTTAACTGAACAGTGGAGAGAGAATTCAGAAATAAAAGAGATGATCTATGTCAACACATACTCTCCGTTGTTTACAAGTGGTGTGTGTGTGTGTGTGTGTGTGTGTGTGTGTGTGTGTGTGTGCCCGTGTGCACAGGTATACATGTGCCACTCTGCACATGGGTGAGGAGTGTCTAAGGACAAATTTCAGGAGTCAGTTCTCTATGCAATTAGTTCCAGGGATCAAACTCAGATCCTTCAGCTTATAAGGCAAAAACCATTACCCTTTACTTTGTTGGCCCATGGTTTTGATGCTTAAATGATAATATCTTAAGCCATTTAATTTCAAAGCTGGGCAGAAACAATGTAAGGAGGAGCTAACTGATCAACTAACTCCATGTATCCAACTCTTTATCATTATTTGTCTTCTGTTATATAGATATCTCTTTGCCTCCAAATTCAGAACTAAAGTTTGCGCTTACCTTTGTCTTAGCTGTCTTCAGGTGACCCAAGAAATTCTGTTCCTGCCACTTGCAGGAATCTTTGGCAATGTAGAGAGTTATACGTAATGCATTCATGACATTTTCTCTCAATTAAATTAAATACTTGCTGAGATACAGATAAAGTACAACATCATCAGTAAATACAGCAAAAAAAAAAAAATGATAGAATTTGAGACCCAGGGGTAAAATCTTAGTCAAAGTTTAACTTTGGGAAGTCTTACTTATCCCCAAGGTCAGAGCCCCAGCCAATCTCAATATTTGTTTACTTCCTTGAGAATGAAAGATAAGGACATGAACTCTGTGATGTCAGTCATACTGGTGAAAGGGACCCTTCCAAGTGTCAGCTCTTAAGCTATGTCAGGCCTCCAAATAATAATGATAATAATAATAATTTTAAAAACTCACACAAAGCAGTCCTTTTCCATGCTGCATTATTGCATGTGATTTTAGATCATTGCTCCCAGTCTACCTTATATTGAAGAGAGGCTTCAGCTATGTCTAAGCTAAACATGCATTTTTCCTTCCTTTATTCATCCCCTCACTCTCTCAACAAATATTTGTTGAGCCTCCTCTTCCTGCATAAAGTTGTGCCAGGCACCCCGGGGAGCACAAGGATGAAGTGAAACAGCAGATCCTACACACCAGGAATTTACTGAGCAATACAAAGTGTTTGCATGAGAGTCATAGAAAGACATAGAAAGTCGCTGTGCATAAACCAATTGATGCACAGCCTTGGGAACTGTGAGAACTCAATGCCGCTGGTTGTTCCCTAGACTTGAGATATTGTACATCTTGTATAACCTCCCATCTATTCATTTCCTCGTCTAAAAAAATAAGATCTGCTTAAAAGACTTAATATATTTCCCTGGTCAGCGTCTTACCTTCTCCCTAAAGCTGTTTTCAATTTTCTAAACTCCCCAACTTCCTACTGTCTCCTCCTCAAAAATGACCTCAATTCCCATTGGGCAGAGAAAAATGGACTCCCTCGGCTGAAAACCCACTGATTTCCTGCTTAGCCTCCAGTGGTCACAGAATCCACACCCATAGCACTCCTTCTTCCCACCCACAGAACTGTGTTTCCTGATGCTCTAAAAGCACAAAGCTTTAGAACCAGGCTACCTTCCCTGGCCCTGTCTCTCAAGAACTTACTCTACTGTCCCCCAGCCACTGCCCTGCAAGGGCAAGTGCTGTGCTCTCTGCCTAAAGCTCACAAGCATGTCTAGTTGAAGGGATCTCTACTGTCTTACAAAGAGCAAAAACAAGCATGTCAAACACATGTCCCCTCCGTGCCCTGTGCCACCTTCTCTGTATTTTGTACTGCTTGCTAGTCATGGGGTATTTAGTTAAAATTCATTTTAACAGTCACTGAGATTTAAAACTCATTCCTGGGACTAGAGAGATAGTTCCAGTGGTTAAGAGCACTGCTGTTCTTGTAGAAGATGTAGGTTCAGTTCTCAGGACCCACATAGCAGCTCACAACCATCTATATATCCAGGTCCAGTATATCCCATCTGCTCTTCTGGCCTCCATGGGTATCAGGCATCCATAGGACGCATGTACATACATAGGGGTAAAATCCTCACATACTTAAAATAAGAATAAATAAATCTTTACAAATAAACAAAAATCAGTTCTTCAACAACATGCCCATGAACAGTAGCATCTCCCACGAATGACACTGGGTGATGATAAGCTCAGGAACTCAGGGACCATAGCAGTTTTTAATCTCCTTACTATAGTTAGTTAGATTTGTGTAGCAGTGGCAAAAAAACACATGTGAGAATAATTTAAAGAGATGAATTCTTTGTTTTGGTTCACAGTTTCAGGGATTCCAGCCTGTCTGGAAGGGAGGGGTTTCCAGAGCAGAATAGCCAAGAAGCCACTGTGTTATCTGACTTTCTTCTTTTTCCACCTTTCATTCCATACCGGATGGTACAACCCTCATTCAAAGTGGGCCTTCTCTATTAGTCCTCTCTGGAAACATCTTCAGAGATAAACCTATAGGTATGCTTTGTTAATCTTCTGGACACTTCTCAACCCAATCAATTTGGCAATGAAGATCAACCATCACTCTATATTTAGTAGCCATATATATTACAGATCTATAGTGTATTATACTGTATACACATATATACAATTCATAATATATTCCATTGGATACTAACATGTATGTGTGTATCCACCTACAAAAAAGAAACAGGTATATCAAGAAGAGAAGGATATATACATTTAATAAACACTGTTCATTCAGTCCCCACAATGCTTTTCAATGAGTATCATTATGCTGTAATGAAAATGGAGAAATACGCTTTGTGGAAAGCTTGGCAGATGGTAAATTCTGGAGGCTGGGCTGGAACTCAAGTTTCTGCAATGTATACAAACCAACTGTTACAGTGTCTGAAAGTCTAAACCCACTTTTCAACACCTGAAACATAATGCCTATGTTCTACCCATCTTTAATTCAATCTGACATTAAATTTAAGGGGTGAAGCTTGAAGAAAATGAAACAATACACAAAATACAAATCAACTAAATTATAACTACAGTTGCAAGCACTTGCTGACTTATATGCATAATGAGGAACTCTGGCCAGATGATTTCTGTTTCCACTTTGTTCCCATAAATCCTGGCCCATACCTTTGGAGATTAGTACGCCAGCTTCCATGGGGATGTGGCAGAGGTCAAAGTAAATCAAGGAGAGATCAGTCTTCCAGTTCCACAGCATTCCAAGGGCCTCTGCTCCTGCTTGAATCTGCATGCATCTGGGAGGGAGCATGGTAATGAATGCCACAACTATTCTGCAGTCAAACCCCACTTTTCAATGTTCAGTCTGAGAGGGCTTAGGAGACGGTTCCAACATTTGCTGGGAGAGCATGAGGACCCAACTTCAATCCCCAGTACCCACTTAAAAAAAGATGACATTGAGTGAGTTATATCCAGCTGTAATCCTTGACTTGGCCAGGAGAAGTGGCAGAGACAGGAGTTCCCTTGAGCCAGTAAGATAGAATTGGCAAGCTTCGAATTCTGTGAGCAACCTTGCCTCAAAACCAAGGTAGAGAAGCATTGAGGAAGACACTAGACATTGTCCATTGTTATCTGATGTCACATGTACCACATGCCTCTCTCTCTCTCTCTCTCTCTCTCTCTCTCTCTCTCTCTCACACACACACACACACACACACACACACACACACACACACACACACACACACACAACCATTCTTAGTTTCTGAGGTCAACCTTGTCGAAGGAAGCATGAAGGTTGGTCTTTTTTGGTTTGGTTTCCTCTCATAATTTAAGGAGTCCCAGGTTCACTAGGAATGAACCTCTTGGGAGATTTGTTTCTTGTCCCTGCCAACTAATACAGGTTCAGAGGTACCTCTCAAGAACAAGGCTAGAGACTGTAGCTCCCTGGAAAGAAGCTTGTTGCCTTGGCTGTCTCTAGCTGGGTTTTATAGGAAACTACAAAAAACCTGCATGACCATCATGAGCCTCTCAGCTCCTCATTGTGGACCCAGATTCAGTTGAATTTTCCAGAAGATAAATGCTTTTCTATCTACAATTTTTTTAAATGGGGGTGAAATTTTTAGTTTTGATTAGTGTGTATTCCTAGACACACTAATGAGATCCAGTGCACATTTAACACATTTAACTAATATGAATATTTAACACATTCGTATACTATGCACCCATGAAATTCAACTTCCCTTCATGCTCTCCTGCAATGCATGTTTATTATCTAATTGTATTTATTTGTTAAGGAAGATCCACCCTGAGTCACTGCAGCCAGTATCCTCCTCGTTCTTTACAGTTTTCCAATCTTATTTACTCCACAGACACACCTATGGAAGAAGCCCTACATCCTGGGTTCCATTGATAATTTTGTATGATATTCAGAGATTTCTCTTTCCCAGCATAGAGACATTTGGAAACAGAAGCAATGGTGTACAAAGACAATCAGATACATAATATAAAAAAAAGGTTAAGTGGCATTAACAGTGTATTTACCCACCTCAAATCCATTAGGATAGTTGCTATCCTCATAAAAATAAAACAAAATAAACAGCAATCCTTCATGAAGAGGTCAAGAATCTGCAAGACTTGCTCATTGCTGGTAGGAATGTGAAATCATACAAATATGGGAACAGTCTGGTGGGATTCCCATAGAATTAGTCATTAAGCTACCAAGAAGAATTGCAAGCAGGACCCGAGCATCATTCCCAACAGTCAAGAGGTGGAATTAGACTAAGTTGCCACAGATAAATGAATGGAAAAGCAAATGATAAGCAGACAGGAGGCAGAATATGACCTGGCCTTAAAAAAAGAAGGAAATGCTAAAACCTGCTCTCTTAGGTAAATTTTGAAAACACTATGATGTGTGAAATAAAGCCAAGCCCCAGGGGACAAATACTGCATAATTCCACTTAAGGCAGCTCTCCCAGTCAAATTCAAAACAAGAGAAAATGGAAATGATAGCTTACAGGAGCTGAAGGGGAGGAGAAACAGAAGGAAGTGATAGAAGCAAGCAGAGTTTAAGTTTTGGAAACGGAGAGTCCTGAAGGTGAATGCTGGTAATACAGTGTGAATGTGCATAATGTCACTGAGCTGGGCATGTAAAAAGTGCAAGGGGAGTGAGGACAGAAGAAGGGAGGGGGCGGGGAGGGGAGGAGGAGGGACAGTGATTCTTAGTAAGTACCCATGGGCCTAAGAATTTTACTTCAGAACAACTTGGAAGGAGATTCCTATCACAACAGCCATCGTCACCATTTTACAGATTTGTAAATGGAAGCTATGTGGCGTGAGTAAATTATTTGTTCCTGGCTACTCAAACAGGAAGTGGCTGTCCCTGCCTGCATGTTCAGACTGCCTAGTGGAAGACCTCACAATGTTCCAAACTATATTCTGTCGCTTCATAACCTGTACTGTTTGGTGTCATCCAATGTCATCTTGCTACACCAAGCAAACTAAAATCTTTATTACCTTTATTCATTTAAATCTTCTATGGGTGGTCTGTAATTCTTGGGTGGGATGAGGGGCACTTAGAATGGTCATTTTTTTTTTATCTCTCAAAGCCCTCGTTTTGTGTATCACAGTGACTTATATTTACAATGTTTTTATCACAGTGTTATTTATTGAAGGTATATATACTAATATGAGATTTGCCTAAGATTCTTGGCATATTTACTATAATATCCCCACATTGTAACTTCCTGAGTATCATTTAAAGTTAAGAAGTTAAGTCATACAACCAGTAAAAATGAAAGCTGTTTCTTAACTTGTTCAAGGCCATGATGTAGCCCATAAAGTCACATCACCCTCTGTTGCCCAACTTTTAATGTGCTTATAAGTCACTCAGTTTATCAATTCTGAATTTAGCCTTGACTCATCCTTTTAGATACTAGCAATGTCTAACTATCTTTCATGCAATATAGATGTTTTGAAAATCCCCTTTCAAAGAAAGTATTTTCATCAGTGATCTTACCAGCAAGAACTAGAAGCTGGGACTAATGAACTCTTACTTCTGACATCTTCTAATCTGTGATTTTATCATATGATAGCTTTAAGACTAGCAACCTCATATGAAATATTGAGAAAGAAACAGAGGGGCATAATTTAGAGGCAGCGAGCTTCCATAGAACCTTGATGTCTTACTAGAGCCTAATAGGTCTTCCTTTAGAAGTTCAGCCTCTTAATATTAGTTTTCACATAACATACTCTTGACAGCATTTATTATTAATGACCTACGAGTGATGAAGGGAAAGTCATGTGAATGGAATCCAGAAGTCAAACAACAGTCTCTCAGAAGCAACTGAACCTCAGCCAACTGCAGCATATTTTGAGGAATGAGCTAAAAAGCAGTGCTGAAGAAAATACCATGCATGAACCAGTGATTTAATCTCGAAAATGTGCCACTGGAAATTAGACGGAGAGAGAAGGGGAATGGTCGCAGAGTTAAGGAGCGTTCATGGTCAATCTCAAAGGAGGCCGCTGTGTGTGTAACCCTGAACTCTCAGTCAGCTGGGTCTGAAGACTTGGAGGCAGATATATTTCTTCATCTAATGTTTCCTGGCTCCTCGGTGCTGGCAAACTCGGGGGGGGGGGGGGGGGGGGGGGGGGGGCGTTGTGAAGGGTCAAATGTATTGAACTCCTGTCAGACTTTCCAGGGTGGGTAAAAGTCAATAATTTTCATCTTAATCCCAAGGCTACAGTGTGCTCAAATTGGGAAATCTACTCCATATGTTCACAATATTAGTTCACAGAAGTCCTAAAATGTTTCTTCAGGAGTTTTCCAAGCCTTCTTGGCTTCTTAGGTTTGGTATGTTTGAACCATTACAATTCCACATTTGATGATCATGAGTTGAAACTAGCGACCTTTATGACAATCTAGTCTTTTCCAAGCACTTTTACATTTTCATTCTCCTTTATGTCTCACAATCATCCAGCAAGCCCAATGGCACTGCCCCCTGGGCAGACACAGATGATTAGCTAGGTAAAGGCCTTCAAATGTGTCTAGTCCTCTATGCCCACAGCCGAGGACTACATGGTGAATACCCAACTCCCAAACTCACATTTTTCACCACACCACACTCCTTCTAAACCCAGATAGTTTTTTGATGTGGGAAATGATAGATTTTTCTGTCTAAAATATGGACTATGCCCTGGTTTAAAAGGAAATAAAGCCCAACACATTTCTCAGCTGACCTTCCAGAGATGGTGACATCATACTGTTATTATCCTATATAGCAAAATCTCTTTTATATGGATTTTTACAACTATAAATTAAATTACTCTGGGGGGGGAGCAAGCAGATTGAATTTGAATCCATAATGTCTTTTCTGTGTGTGAGTGTATGTGCGTGTGTCTGGATGGGGATGCATACCTGTGCAAACATCTGCCGGAGAACAGCAGGTGTCCTGCCCTATCACTCCTGGCCTTGCTTCCTAGAGACAGAGTCTCTCAGAGAACCTGAAGCTTGACCTGTCATTTTCCCATGAGAATTACTGGCTAGTGAGCTTCTGGGATCTTCCCATCTCTGACCTCCAGTACTGGGATTACAAGTACATGCCTACCTTTTTTCTGCATGAGTACTGGGAATTTGAATGTGGGTTCCCATACTTGAACAGCTAATGCTAATGTAAACTGAGCCATTTCCCAGCCATAATCTAAAAACAAACAAATAAACAAACAAAACAAGAAACAACAAAAACATTACTTTGACTCATTTCTTTTTTACATTAAATTGTTCTTCCACATATTATATTTCCAATGTTTCTAGAATATACAATCTAAACTGTTTTCCAAATAACTGAGATGTGCTCATTTTGTAAACACTTGAGCTTTGGTTTTGTTTGTTTGCTTTTTAACTAAAGTGGAGAGATGGTGCCACCTGGTCAAGAAGGAAAGAGAGACTTACAGGACCAAACTCACTTGCTGGGACTCACCTGCTCCTGGCTTTGTGTGCATGAAGTTTTGTGTTATCTGTTATCTGAAGAAAACAGATATCTGACTCATTCTGGGAATATACTGGCAAAACTCCTATCTAGTACAGTAGAATATCACCAGCCATTCTCAAGGGCACGAACTGAAAACATGAAAGATGAAAGGTTAGAAGCAGCAGAAAATATTTTTAAGCATCTAGTCTGCACCAGGTACTGTGTCCAGGATTTCAGGGAGTCCTAAAGCATTTCTTCAGAGGTTTTCCAAACCTCCTTGTCTTCTTAAGTTTGCTCCATTCGAACCACTGCAATTACATATTTAAGGCATATTGTTGAAGACTGTGACCTTTGTGACAAGGTCACGTGAATAGTAAATGGAAAAGCCAGAAAAAACACTAAGCTCTAACTCTAGCCCCTTTTCATCTCATTAAATGGCAGCCTTGAATTTTAAGATGCATATGGAAATAGTCGCTTAACTGTATTTCCATGCCCTAATAGCTAACATGAAGGAATTCTTATAGAGTAATTCATACAGCAGTAGAACTTGCCTAGCAAACATATTTTTAATGATGATGACCAAAGCACACTCACATGGCCATTTACACAGGTGAGGTGAGCATTATATTTCTTCCCTTCCTAAACAAGGTTTCCATTCATTTAAGAAATAGAACATTCCAGGATGCATGTTGGGAAGAGATAAGACTTGCCTCAGAGCCTGTGCTGGGGAGGGGGTGAAGGCACAGGCTCAGGATGTGAGTAGAAAGACCAGGATGCAAAAATGCATTTTATCTCAAAGAAGCATATGCCTTTAGGTCTTTTCGTTGAAAACATTAAAACCCAAGGGGCTAGGGGAGAACTACAGGTCTTTCCTCATTTTCCTCATCAACATGAAAGTGATTTATCCTCCTCACATTGTGCTTTAAATCATAAACAGAAAATGTTAATCAAATAACTGTACAAACAATTCCAAAGAACTATTCCAAGCAAGTTAGTGAAATGTTATCTATCAAATTGCTAGGATGCCATTAATATTGGAATGAGCAACGTCACCCAGCTCATTTGAATCTATTATGTTTTAAGTTAAATACACTGACATACAAATTTTGCATTTTTCTTTGTCTAAGGAAGAAGCATCAATTGAAGACACTGACAACATGAGGAACACAGGCAACCTCAGAACCTTCATGAGAACTCCGTTACCATTCTTCCCCTTTGGAAACTTCAATCATACCATCTCTCAGCTATTCCTTCTTCACAGACACCACTGGCTTGTTAATGTCAAAACCTACCCCCAATACCATTATGGAGTTCCCTGTGCAAGTAAACTCCTTGATCCTTACTCTGACTCCTACCCAGGCTCACTAAACCTTTCTGTATCTGAAAATATGTTAGCTCAAACCTGCCTCACCCCAGCGTGCAGAATCAAACCACAGTGAGTCGTCACTCTGCCCATCCACCCTGAGCTTAGAAGGATTTGATTGCTGTTCTTACTCACTAGTCTTAAACTGCCACACAGCCTTGGCTGCCTGTCAGTTATTTCTTGTTGAACTGGCATTTGGTCACCCACTCACCGTGATGTACCGCAGATGGCTTGGGTTGTCCCTACTCCTGTCCAGAAGAATTACACTGCAATAAACTTTGCTTTAAAGCCTGTCAGCCGGCAGTCCTCCTGGCTATCACTTGGGAACTCCTACCATGTGATTTAATGGGGATGTTTCCTAAGTGGTCCTGCAATAATTTCCTGGAAGGCTTAAGAATGATATCTCTGCCATGTAGACTCAGAGACAGCCATTGCACAAGCATTCTCTGAGGACTCTTGTCTGGGATTTGACTTGCATGTTATAGCCACCAATATCTCATAGAATGTACTGTAGTCATTTATGTATTTTCTTTTCATTCTTCCAAATATTCTTTTTTAGTGGTGGGGGTGTTTTTGTTTGGTTGGTTGGTTTTGGTTTAGCTTTTTTTTTTTGGTTTTGTTTTTCAAGTCAGGTTTTCTCTGTGTAGCCCTGGCTGTCCTGGAACTCACTCTGTAGACCAGGCTGGCCTTGAACTCACAAAAATTTGCCTGCCTCTGCCTCCCAAATGCTTGGATTAAAGGCATGTGCCACCACTGCCCAGCCATCCAAAATTCTTTTAATATCATGTACCAAGTTAGAATAAGGAAAAAACCAAGTACAAGGGACTAGAGAGATGGATCAGCAGTTAGTAGCTCTTGTTATTCTTGCAGAGAACTCTGGTTCAGTTCCTAGCATCAAGTCAGGTGGCTCATAACAATCTACATCTCCAGTTCTATATAAGTCATCCTCAACATCTTCACTCAGGCTGGGTGTTATAGTCACCCACAGATCTTGTTACAGGTGCCTTATCTCCAGGTGGCTCGTGATCCCCTTCCAAAAGATCAGGCTATCATTCAAAAGCTTCCTATATTCCAATATATAACTTCTGTGAGGTTAATTCCGAGTCTCTTACAAAGAGATGGACAAAGAGTACTCTTGATCAGCTCCATACTGCAAGCAGAGACCGTCCCTCTCACTTGCTGCTAGGCTAAGAATCCCCTCTGCTAGCTAAGCATGGCGGATCACAGTGTAAAACCCAATACAGGGGAGGCTGAGGCAGGAGCCCAGCCTGGGCTACACAGGGAGTTCCTGGCCTACCTGGGGCTACTGATTGAGATTCTATTTCAAAACAAATAGAAACAGTGAATTCCATTTCGGAAATAGAAAAATGGAATAGATATGCATGGAGATTGTGATTAGGACCTGCTCTTTACTTAAGGGTTCCTGTGATTGTTCTGTGTGAATGGTGTACCTTTATAGATCATTTCTTGAATTATACTGAACTCACTCCATTTCAGGATCAGACATAATGTTCAAACCATCTCAAATAAAGCACAGGTCTCAAGCTCATGTAAAAAGGGAAGAAATTCTGAAAACTACCTCTACAGTTAATTCAGAGATTGAAAACAGAGTCTATCCCTCTTTTCAGCAAACCACAGGTACCAGGTCCTCTGTAATGATCAATCCCAGAACTCATTCCAGTAGCAAAGTATGGCATTATGGCATAGTAAGATAACTAATTATTCTAGATATATCACCTACAATAAGTTAGTTAAGGGATTGATTTTATTTTGATGGAGTTTTGAAAAGCCCAAGGAAGAATGACAAGTCCCATTAAAAATAGCAATAATCAAAAAAAAAAATAAAAAAAAAATAGCAATAATCTCCTGGCCACTAGAATCTAGAAAGCATGACCTCTGAGAAGTGGCAGGGACCATGGCAAGCCTACCTAGTGAGAGGTGAACCCATCAACGGAAGCACTTACCTTGAATCAAGTCAGTAATGCAACCCCTGTTAGAAATACCCACCGAGAGAGGAAGAAAAGGAGATATACCCTAGTGTGCTCCTTTTTCTGAGGTCAGATTTCCTACTAATGGCTTCAGCTTAATGGAACCAAAGGTTAGTGACAGAGATCAGTGCGAGGGAAGTCTAGGGGATGGAGCCAAGGACCAAGAGCAAATCTCAGCACAAAAAGCGGCTGTTCCTGCGTCTCTATCACACCATCACTTCCAGGCATCAGCATATCTCTGCCTCTGCTTTGCCTTCAATTTCTTCATTCTGTCTCTTTGTATTTTGTGAGTTTAACTCTACCAAGGGATTGGAGAAGGTAGGTTTATTTGCCTGGCTCAACCTACAGCAGTGCTATTATTAACATTACTATTATTGGTAGAAATTCAAGTAATTACTTTTCATATACAACTCGTTGGTGTTGCCCTGATTCCCTCCTCCTCCCCCCCCCCCCCCCCCCCCCCGCCAGGCTCATATCCCATCACCCAACTATAGCAGATGCCAGCTGGCAAGGGTTTATTTCTATAGCCTCATCCAGAGGATTGCCACTTCAGCAGACAGGAATGAGTTCCACTTAGATATTTGGAGTGCTGTGCCCTCCCCTCTTTAAGGCCACTTATAGCCAATAGCTGACTTGTACAAATGGTGAAAATAGCCCAGCCCTCCTCTCTGTGTAGAGCAAATTCTTGTATGATTCATTCTGTAAGATTATGTGATGGGAACAATCAGAAGCTGGATGATTTCTGAAGCCACCTCTTCGCTGTTGTCTTTCCCTCTCAGGTTTCCCTCACATCTTCTCAGAATTCTTTAATAATCACCCCTCTTGATAAATCAGTTGCACGGGGATTCTAATCTAGGAACTCCAGCCTACAGATTTCCCTCAGCAGATATTAGCATGTAGGGTTCAACTGTCATTTATTTCCTGGTTGAGCAGTTGGAATAGCTAAAGTCAAACTGGCTGCAGGAGCAAAGACTAGTAATTTCAGCTTTCAAGACATGGAGACCAGGAGCATAGTGGAAAAATAAAAAGCACAGAAGCTGCAATGTAGAAATGCATTCATCTGTCATAACAGCTGATATAAGTCACAGTTAGTTGAGAGCAGTGATCGGTACTGAACCTGAGGACTGCCAAAATGATAGGATCAAGTGTGTCATTTGGAAACTGCATGTATGCCCAGAGAGAATGAGAAGCATATTGTCATTGAACACTGTCATATGCTTTGTGGATAGATTGTGTCATCCCTGTGACAGCATGTCCAGCAGAAAAGGTCTCCAAGGAAGGCAGAGGACAGGTCTTTATCTCTGCTGCTCTCCTGAGACCATAAGAACAAGTTTCAATTAAGACAATGGAAGAGTGAGAGCATCTCACAGCGCTAGGAACAAGGAATTTCTGTCTTATTTCACATTATCATGTTTCATATCATCACAAAAGAAAAGGGGAAGCTATTCAAAGATGGAGAGTCATAGGCATCTCAGTAGAATCTGCCTTTCCTTTCCTTTCACAGCCTCCTCTTCACACTCATCGAAAGCAGCAGAAGAAAGGAGTTTGTAAGCAGTAAAGAAGTATATGATTATGTGGTGAGAAAAGATTGCTATTAATAATGTTAACAAAATATACTTCCCACAGGTACACACCAAGTGTTTTAGATATAGTCATCAGAAATCAGTTAGTAGCAAGCAGTAGAATCCTAACTTAAACTAGTGTAGCATTCAATACAAGGTCAATATCTAAAATGCACAACAGAGGTCAATATGAAACAGCACAGCAGTATAAGGGCATGAACTAGCTATAATGAGGTCTCAGACATTTTAGAGATGCTGGGATGTTGTAACCAACAGGACAAAGCTGTCTGGTGGCAAATGCTACATGATACTGATATTCTAGAAGTATGGTTTTCAAACTTAACAACACATAAAAACCACTTGGACAACTGATAAGTAACATAGGTTTCTGGTCCCCAGTTTAGTTTTTCTGATTAAGAAGTTCAAAGATGGAGTACAATAATTTTGACATTTTGGGTAAATATAAGACAATGCTGATGGTGATGGCCAAAGGTCATCTGTAGATATACCCCTCCCTAGGAAAAATTAATGAAGAGATATGCATCTGACTGAGAGCCAATGAAAACAAAGAAATATAGAAGCCTCTGTGATCTCTCATGGAGATTCCACTTCCTGTTATGAGATGGGGGAAAAACTGGTCCAGAGTGACCAAATCCCAGAGAAGCCAAACTACCCAACCCAGCTAGGCTGGTAAAGACCAGGACCTGGTTGGGACAATTGGGTTTTTCTTTTGGGAAGGAATAAGTGGGATAAAGGTCCATCAAAATCTTGAACCTCAGGATGCCCCCCACCTTTGAAGTCTTTTGAAGAGACCTACTAAGAGTTGGAATCCCTTAGTTGATTGAAGACAATGAAGAGGCCTTCCACTATAAGATATTTATGCCCACACCACCGAAGGATCATAGACACTGATCCCTAAAAGTGTATAATATACCAAACCTCATTTCAGCAGATGTTTCTTAGGACCCAGCCTGCTCTAGAGCATCCCCAGATGGAGATCCCCAGAACCATTGTTCCATAGCACGCACATTGGCCTTCTAAAACCCCTGACCCTTGTTCTCTTCCACCAGCAATGCATTTTTCTCAACCCTGTAGACACAGCATGCTCATAGATTAATGAGTCTGTGCCTTGAGAATCTAAAAGCAGCTATAATTCAACTTCAGGAAAATTCTTCATGGATCTGTCTTGGAATGCATATTCATATCTTGCATGAGAAACTGCCCCCAGAGCCATAAAGGACCTGTTAACAGCATCCTAGGTAAGTTCTCATTTCTGCAGTCCATGAGCCAAAGACTATTGTGAAAAGGAGAGGGTCAGGATAAGGTGTGTATGGGCAGGTTGGGCAGCAGTTTTGAGTGTGATGGAAATGCCAGAATTTGTGCCAGAATCCTTCCTTATACTGTCATTTTTTTATGATAGCTTTAAAAAGAAGGACAGTGGATAAAGTGCTTGCCACATAAGTGCAAGGTCCCAGTTTGGTTTCCAAAACCCAAGTTGAAAAAAGAGGACAAGCCAGCCGTGGTGACACATGTATATAATCCCAGAGTTGGGAGGTGGAGATAGGTGACTACCTGGGGGGTCTCTGGCCAGCCAACTGAGCCTAACAAAACAAATAAGCAAACCAACAAAAAAACATGGATGGTGCCTAAGGAGGGATGACAGTCCAGGATGTCCTCCGGCCTCCGTACACATATGAAAACACACACATTTGAGAAAAAGAGGGAGAGAAAAACAAAAGAA